TTCGTCAACATTTGCTTGTAAACGCTCTAAAAACTAGATTTTTTGATGGAATCAAATGAAATTCGGTATGTGTATACATATTCATAAAATGAAGATCAAGTTCGAATTTGAGCTATTTTCGACCGTTAAAAGCAGAGTTATTGCCCTTGCCCCAAAATCTTGAATACTTACCATCCGCATGCCGTGGTGGGCGTATATGGCTGTGGTCCACTATCTTTGATAGACTTGATGGTATTTCTCTTTGGAGTCCACTATTATACTACCTCTACTCCCGATTTTGCCATTCTTTGGAAAGAGATTTTGATTACCGGAATTGTCTTCTTTATAGGACCCTGTGTTGCTAGTGGTAACTGATATAGTTCTCACCGTCGAGAAACAGAACAGTTGCTGCACATTTACACAACTGGAAGAAACTATGTAACTATTTATGTATGGTATGACCTTAAGGACATTCTTGTCCACCAGCGGAGTCAACGATCTAATGATGTATAAAACACTGACTCAGATATGTTGCAAGTTTTTGACATTGAAAAAAAAAGGGAACTTTACATTCATAACAAGACTGAATGCTAAATAATAACCTTCATTACCACTACTATTTATCAGAAAGGCGGATATGCAGATTCACTGACCCATTAAGCTGTATAGAGTTCACTATCGTTCAAGATCATCCAGTATGTTTTTGAATGAAATTGTAACACGGGGATTTACCTTTCGGAAATAATATTTCAGAATTTTTTTACTGAAAAGGATATGAGTTTTAATAAAAACAAATATTCACAAAAGATAAGCATTTATTACACTCCATTAAAGGGATATTTTTAGAAGCAATTATTTGAAAGATATTGGTCTTGAATATATTAGTATGATTCATCTTTAATTTAGTATAATTTATTATTAATGGGGCAAGTTATTCAATTCTAAAGTTAAAAAAGGTCATCTCCGGCAAAATAATAATAATAATGATAATAATCTATCTCCAGCATTTATAATAATGATAATAATGATAATAACGAGTAACCATAGTGATCAAAATAACAATAATAATGATGATTAAAATGATAATGATTATAGTATTAATTAATGGTAATAATAATTAATCATCTCCAGCAAAACATGAAATGATGACGGATGATGATGGTGATCATTATTGATGAATATGGTGAAAGTGGCGATGGAATGATGATGCTGATGAATATGGTGAAAGTAACGATGGAATGATGATTGTTAATGATGGTGATGAATATGGTGAAAGTAACAATCGAATGATGATAATGATGAATATGGTGAAAGTGGCGATGGAATGATGATTGTTAATGATGGTGATGAATATGGTGAAAGTGGCGATAATGATGATTGATTGATAGATAATGATGGTGATGGTGATGAATATGGTGAAAGTGGCGATGGAATGATGATTGTTAATAATGGTGATGAATATGGTGAAAGTGGCGATGATGATGATTGATTGATAGATTATGATGGTGATGAATATGGTGAAAGTGGCGATGATGATGATTGATTGATAGATAATGATGGTGATGGTGATGAATATGGTGAAAGTGGCGATGGAATGATGATTGTTAATGATGGTGATGAATATGGTGAAAGTGGCGATAATGATGATTGATTGATAGATAATGATGGTGATGGTGATGAATATGGTGAAAGTGGCGATGGAATGATGATTGTTAATAATGGTGATGAATATGGTGAAAGTGGCGATGATGATGATTGATTGATAGATTATGATGGTGATGGTGATGAATATGGTGAAAGTGGCGATGATGATGATTGTTAATGATGGTGATGAATATGTTGAAAGTGGCGATGATGATGATTGATTGATAGATTATGATGGTGATGGTGATGAATATGGTGAAAGTGGCGATGGAATGATGATTGTTAATAATGGTGATGAATATGGTGAAAGTGGCGATGATGATGATTGATTGATAGATTATGATGGTGATGAGTATGGTGAAAGTGGCGATGATGATGATTGATTGATAGATTATGATGGTGATGAATATGGTGAAAGTGGCGATGATGATGATTGATTGATAGATTATGATGGTGATGAATATGGTGAAAGTAGCAATGGAATGATGATTGTTAATAATGGTGATGAATATGGTCAGTTTTCTCTCTTTTTGCCATGCCTTTAATGAGATTTGTAATAACTGAATTTTCATGCATATACGCATATTTAATTCAGTTAAAGTCAATAGACTTTGATATACATATTTACAATAGGTATACAGAACCTACATATGTACGATAAACATGTTTATGTATGAAACATTTAAGACCGTATTTATTTACCATTTTATATTTTAATTTGGGTAAGCCTTGTGTAGACGAATATAACAATTAAATTCAAGGGTCAATTGCCATTTTATCTCTTCATTTTTCAGAAGATACCTTTTATTTCAAAAGCAAATACATTACGTGATATTTTCTAAAAAAAAAAAAAAGTGAAAAAACAGGTTACTTCCCTTTGGATATAAATTTGTTCAGAGAAACCTGTTCTTGTTAAATCTTAGCTTTGTAATTTGCTTTTAATGAGCATGAGAACCATATTGAAAAGGTCCGCCAGCGTCCACTCCCCTGACCTCGAAACTTAAACTTTGTCCATCAACTCACAATTTGAACTTATTTATCTCGTATTTGCTATTGCCCTTCTGTTTTGATTTCTGATAAAGCTTACGAACTTAGTTGTCAGTTTATTATTTTTCCATTTCATGTAGGCAAAGTTACACCCAGCCCTTTCACGAATTATCATAAGCGACACCTTCCTTATCAAAGTGGTGCCAATTTTGTGATTACTCGTCGACAGTAGAGACAATTTTATTACACCTCGATCACGATAAAAACAATGTCCACAAAAAGTTATTTACTTCTTGACATGATTCGTCGCCATTTTTCCACGCCCCTTCAGGGTCTCTGTATGCCTTTGCAAAAAGCAAATTTAAACAAAGTCTGTATGGAATAAGGTGATATGACAATAAAGCTATCTTGAGTGTTACTCAATTGAATTTAGTTTTATATATTCACGTATATTCTGATTGCCACTGTGGTAAGGAACACAAACAACAAGCAGAGTTTATGACATAACTTAACTTCAAGAACTTGGAACATTTGTATTCAGTTGGGCATTGAAAATGATAAATTTGTATATAATTGTATCACACATATATGATTTTTTCTCGCACCCGAACCCTTCATGATTATTATGCATATAATGTTTTGGTCGCCATTATGAATTTCAAAAACTAGGTCACAATTGCAATGAGTATGATTCAGATATCGAGATTTTTTACAATTTAAAAGCAAACAATCAGTGAAGTACTTTTTAAGATTTTAAGGTTGACCTAATGTTTTGTATGAAGGAGTGTCGGTAAAGTTGCCCCTTGCGCAATTCTCTCTTAGTACTATAGTCTCTTGTCAGTTGTGTCGAAACCCAGTGGCTTTCGCAATTTCAATCGACTATCTTGGTTGATAAATTATAGTAATAATATCAGCTGAATTCCTAAAAAATTATTATGAAAATATAAAAGCAATTTCTCAAAAATTATTTTTTTTATTTTTATCATCTTGTTGTATCTGGGGATGCCTGTCTATTCTGCATCAATTCTTGACTGAAGAGGTTGATACTTTCGTCATTTATGATCAACAACTCAATCACCATTACAATAACTTATTATTGGCGAGTAGGGTTTCTCTTAATGCAATCTACATAGAATATAGCAATTTATATTGTCTCCGTTTTATTGTAGCCGTTATTTTTGATCACTTGGAGGACTATTCTTGCATTTTAAATTATAAACAAACAAAAAAATCCCGTGAAATTTATTTTGCATTAAATCATTAAAATGAAGTATTAAATGAAATCGATACCATTTTGGCAAAATTTTTCATATATGATATCATTAATTGAATAAATATTTCATTCTGTGCAATTTTCCAATTATGGTTGCCACGACAACCCTAAATGTCATTTAGATTCTAATTGTGCAAGATATATTTTAGTTTTACCTTTGCTTATAAATATTATGCAATTGTCGTCAAGCATCGATTAAGGTTTCCAAGAACAGTATAATATCTGGTTGGTAAATATTGTAACTCGATAAGACACGTGAACTTAGATTATAGTATTTATAGAATTTTATATTGACTGTCATTAGAATTTTCACCTTCAGTATGGTGCTTAATGGATTAATTACAGTATAGAATTACCACTGTTATTGATGATCATGAAATGTAATGATAATTTTGAAATGGTGATCATGAAATGATCGTCGTGAAATGCTGTAAGATGATCATGAAATGTAACGATGATCATGAGATTTTGTAATGATTATCATGACATATCTTAATGATGATAGTGAAATGCAATGATGAGATTTTGTAATGATGATCATGATACTTTGTAATGATGATCAAGAAATGTAATAATGATAATTATGTTGCAATGATGATCATGAAACTTTGTAATGATGATCATGGTATTTTGAAATGATGACCATGAAATGTAATAATAATGATTATGAAATGTTGCAAGGATGATCATGAAACTTTGTAATGATGATCATGAAATGCAATGATGACAATTTGAAATGATGACCATGAAATGTAATGAAATGCTGTAATGTTGATCATAAAACGTCATGATGGAATTTTGTAATGATGATCATGAAATATTATAATGATGATCATGAAATATTGTAATGATGAACATGGAATATTGTAATGATGATCATGAAATATTGTAATGATGATCATGAAATTTTGTAATGATGATCATGAAATAGTGTAATGATGAACATGGAATATTGTAATGATAATCATTAAATGTAATAATGTGTAATAATGATCAGGAAATGAGATGTTTAAATGATGATTATAAAGCATTAGAAATAATAATGTTTTGTATTAATGATCAGAAAATGTTTTAATGATAATGTTGCAATAAAGATCATGAAATTCTGTAATGATGATCATGAAATATTATAATGATAATCATTAAATGCTGTGATGATGAACATGTATGTTGTAATGATGAACATGGAATGTTGTGATGATGAACATGTATGTTGTGATGATGAAAATGGATGTTGTAATGATGAACATGGAATGTTGTGATGATGAACATGGATGTTGTAATGATGAACATGGAATGTTGTGATGATGAACATGGATGTTGTAATGATGAACATGGAATGTTGTGATGATGAACATGGATGTTGTAATGATGAACATGGAATGTTGTGATGATGAACATGTATGTTGTGATGATGAACATGGAATGTTGTGATGATGAACATGGATGTTGTAATGATGAACATGGAATGTTGTGATGATGAACATGTATGTTGTAATGATGAACATGAATGTTGTGATGATGAACACGGAATGTTGTGATGATGAACATGGATGTTGTAATGATGAACATGAATGTTGTGATGATGAACACGGAATGTTGTGATGATGATATTGTAATGCTGTAATGATTTGATGTAATGATGAGCATGAAATGTTGTAATGATGATCATGAAGAGTGGGAATGCTGATCATGAAATGACATAATGCTGATCATGAAATGACATAATGATGATCATGAAATGACATAATGATGATCATGAAATGACGTAATGATCACGAAAAGGCTTTATGTATGAAGAACACTAACTTGTTTAATGAATTATTCAATGTTCTCGTTATAGTTATTTTATTTTGAATTCTTGAAACTCTAAAGTCGTGAAATTTATTTGCAACATGAATGCTAAGATAATCCAAATTAGTTATTAACTTTTCAATGTGGTTCTTACATGGTCTTGTCGTCATTGAGAAATTCGAGAGTTTCGAAGGGTTTTGTGCAGTTTTGTTTATTCAAAGTTATATTTTGTATGACATATAAGAAATTAATCTTTGAATAAAATGTTTATATTGGATATAATGTTTATTTTTTTAGAATATAATGTTTTTGAAAATATAATATTCACATTTTACAATACAATGTTTATGTTGTAGAATGTTTATATTATACTACAATGTTTATATTTTAAAATATAATGTTAATATTTAAGAATAAAATGTTTATATTTAAGAATCAAATGTTTATATTTTAGAATATAATGTTTATATTTTAGAATAAAATATTTATATTTTAGAATACAATATTTATATTTTAGAATACAATGCTTATATTTTAGAATATAATATTTATATTTTAGAATGTAATGTTTGTATTTCAGAATATGATATTTATATTTTAGAATATAATGCTTATATTTAGAATGTAATGTTTATATTATAGAATATAATGTTTATATTTTAGAATATAATGTTTATATTAGAATACAATATTTATATTTGAGAATACAATATTTATATTTTAGAATACAATATTTATATTTCAGAATAGATTGTTTATATTTTTAGAATACAATGCTTATATTTTAGAATATGATATTTATATTTTAGAATACAATGCTTATATTTTAGAATATAATGCTTATATTTAAAAATATAATGTTTATATTTTAGAATATAATGTTTATTTTGGAATACAATGCTTATATTTTAGTATAAAATGTTTATATTTTAGAATATAATGTTTATATTTTAGAATACAATGCTTATATTTTAGAATGTAATATTTATATTTTAGAATATAATGTTTATATTGTAGTATAAAATGTTTATATTTTAGAATATAATGCTTATATTTTAAAAATAATGTTTATATTTTAGAATACAATATTTATATTTTAGAATACAATGCTTATATTTTAGAATATAATGTTTATATTTTAAAATATAATATTTATATTTTAGAATACAATGCTTATATTTTAGAATATAATGCTTATATTTTAGAATATAATGTTTATATTTTAGTATAAATGTTTATATTTTAGAATCCAATGATTATATTTTAGAATATAATGTTAATATTTTAGAAAACAGTGTTTATATTTTAGAATACAATGTTTATATTTTAGAATATATTGTTTATATTTTAGAAAACAGTGTTTATATTATAGAATATAATGTTTATATTTTAGAATATATTGTTTATATTTTAGAAAACAGTGTTTATATTTTAGTATAAAATGTTTATATTTTAGAATATTATGTTTATATTTTTAGAAAACAGTGTTTGTAATTTAGAATATAATGTTTATATTGTGGAATACTATGTTTATATTTTAGAAAACAGTGTTTGTAATTTAGAATATAATGTTTATATTGTGAAATACTATGTTTATATTTTAGAATATAATGTTTATATTGTGGAATACTATGTTTATATTTTAGAAAACAGTGTTTGTATTTTAGAATATAATGTTTATATTGTGGAATACTATGTTTATATTTTAGAAAACAGTGTTTGTATTTTAGAATATAATGTTTATATTGTGAAATACTATGTTTATATTTTAGAATATAATGTTTATATTGTGGAATACTATGTTTATATTTTAGAATATAATGTTTATTTTGTGGAATACTATGTTTATATTTTAGAAAACAGTGTTTGTATTTTAGAATATAATGTTTATATTTTGAAATTTTGATCTATTTTTGTATTTTATGACTTTTTTTTCTTATTTTAGGGAGAAAACATGACTTTTTTACATTTAAGAAGACAAACTTCTATTTCTTAAGAAAATTTATAAGGGTTAGAATTAATAATTGAATGAATGAATGTTAATATGGTTATAAGAGCGGGAATGAAATGACATTTTTTGAATTCTGTTAAATACAAAAGGTCAAAAATGGATAAACGATTGAATGAATTGCAATACATTGATTTTAAGGTTATTTTCATAATGTTTGAACTAATTAAAATGAATGAAAGAATGAATGAAAAAAAATGAAAGAATGAATGAAAAAGAATGAATGAAAAAGAATGAATGAAAAGAATGAATGAAAAGAATGAATGAAAGAATGAATGGTGTCATTTAAGTCACATTTGTATCTTTTATATTTCAAATAGATGAAATGGTAAAGTAAAACTGATCACAAAAATGAAAGAGTGATATTGAATATTGAGAATTAACGAATGAATGCGAGCAAATGAATGAATGAATCAATCAATCTATACATATGAATGAATAAATGAATGAATGAATGAATGAATGAATGTGGATGAATCAATGATTGAATGAAAATTAACCAATTAATGTGAGAAAATGAATGAATGAATGAATAAATGTGGATGAATGAATAAATAAAATGAATGAATGTGGATGAATGAATAAATAAAATGAATGAATGTGGATGAATGAATGAATGAAATGAGTGAAAAAAGAAATGAATGAATATAGGAATTTTACCTGTTTATCACACAAAGAATACAGTTTAAAATTCCAAGTTAGATCCAGTGAATATTTACTTATTTCACACTAGTACCTTAGTAATAATAATTACATCAATGGACACAGCCATTTGTGTTAATCCACTTTTGATAAATCCGGACTAAAGAATGACCCTGAATGACTCATATTGAAAACTTTCCGATCAATTTTGGACTAAAGTCATCCAGAAATAAGTACATGTAATCAACAAAGGTTAAAAAATCACAAATCTTGGAAAATATTTGGTAATGATCGTAAATCCAGGATCCAAAGTGAGTGAAGTTTTGATCAACACAGGATGAAGTTTTTCTCAGAAATCCGGGAAAACTGAAAAATCTACAACGGCCCTAACTAGCATGTTAAAAATAACATTGTTATGTGTTTCAAAAGATTAGAAGATGGGGATGACTTCAATCTATTAAGTTACAGACGTCAAATTTAAACACCGATCAAAGTAAACATGAAGATTTTTTTTTGTTGAGAAATCCGAGAAAACTGAAAACTCCACAACGGCCCCCACACAAGATATGATTCAGAAAGTCATATTTTTGAAGAAAAAAATCTGGGAAAATTGTATGATGAAAATTATAAATTTAGATCCAGGCTACGAACTTTCAATCAATCATACCTCGCCTATGTAGTGTGACTCACAATTTTTTGGCTACATATCCAGAATAGAAATAAAATCCAAAAACAAAAACTGGACACAGTTAAAAAGGAGTTATATCCGTACAGATCAAATACTAATTATGACCAAAAATTGTCCAAAGTACTAATGCATTTTTCACGTTGCGCAATGGACGTGTCGACATTAAAAAAAGTATTAGGCAATCAAATTGTTTGAATATTGCTTAATTCTATAGCTAGGAATTTTTTGAAGGGATTGGGGAGATTTTGGTAATGATTTGACTTTGGAGAGGTCACAATATTAAAGGAACTTTCCCATGAAGAAAATGAAAATGAAATATTTGGATATTTGTTATTTCAGGGGCGATAACTCCGTTGACTTGTATGACTTGTGTATGAGATGCGGCATAGTGATTTGGAGAGGCCATAATACTAAAGGAGATCTCCCATGAAGAAGGAGAAATATTCAGGGGCCATAACTCAGTTAATTTGTCTTAGAACCTTGAAAATTACGTCATATAGTACAGCAATTTAAAGATTCCAATTTTGGAGAGATCACAATATTTGAGGAACTCTCTCAAACATTTTTTTTTATTACAGATTACTCGGTTAGGTCATACGGCAACATTTGGCGTATTGTTATATTTCATGGGCATTAAGTCGTCTGGGAACAGCGGAAACGTCTACACGTTTTAAGAATCAGCCATTATTATGCATTTTCAGCTTATCATTGTGCGGTAACAAGTCTATGCAAGTTAAGGTGCAGTCTTATGACAATTTGAATCCACTATAGAGATAACACTTGTAATTAAAAGTCGAAATGTCAGTAGATAACCTATTTCGAATAAACCGACACCTTTTTGTCGGTGTCACCAGAAACTGATATTGCTTGTCAATCTAGGTCAATGTTAATCTAAAGTCTACTGATAAACTTTATTGATAAATAGGCCGGTATATGAAAAATAGATGTCAGCTGAAAGTGGATCGTGCAGATTTATCAGTTTTAGTTAATGGATGATTGGGGTCAATTCGAGCCACCAAGCACTTTTCCGAGTAGGCCATTGTTTATCTTTAGCTGCAGACGAACTAGGACTCGTATTGTAGTGCTTAACAGTGATACAGATTGTAGAAATTAGATCAATCGGCTGGTGAAACAATTCGATGGACAACTCTATTGTACAAACAGGGAGGGGGCGGGGATTATCCAATCACTAAAGGTCACTCTGCGCATGGGGTTATCAACTCAGAATCCCTTTTAGAGAGTCCACTTAACTAATAATGCTTCTTTAGTAAATTATAAGTTTGTCATTTGTGGAATTTCTTTTCTAGGTTGGGCTTCTGTGAGGCACTTCATTGAATTAGATCACCATTGTAAACAAAACGATAATTCTCTTTTTACAAATCCCATCTGTGAACGAGCAAGTCTTAAAGATAATGTATATACTACTTCTCTAATCGGCCTGTTTTTAATCAAACAGTTGTTATGTTCTGTTCTGTTTTGTGTCTGTTTTCAACCATTTAAACCAATGACGTGTTCCGCTCATGATTTTTTAGTAGGTAGGTTTGAACGAACTGTTCTCGAACTAAAGGGCAAAGACATCGATACACCGGGGCAAAATTATGCAAAAAAAGTAAGTCGCAAGTTAATTGGTTTTAGTGTGAACAGGCTTCAGGCTCATGGTCTTTTTGCGATTAAAAAGAAATTGAAATGGTGCTTTACGTCCCTTTTCTTTATACTCCGTAGAGAGAAAATCTTTTTTTATGTGATGGGTGCTTCCTAGACTCTGGGTCGGTTCTCTTTAATTGATTCCCTTGATATTCGAGTACTTAATGTCACGTGTTACTGTAACAACGGTTGCTATAGACAAACTGGACAGAAGCAGAACGGTAAATAAAACAGACGTGAAATTGTCATATAATCACCGTGGTGTTAAAATCTATATAGATTAATCTACAACATCCGTGAAGTCTTGCCTCAAAACTCGAACCTTAAGCGGTTCGCACTCTTTAACGCCTGAGGTATAGAAAAAAAATGTCGAGTCGAACTATCAGTATAAACCATAGTTATTTTAACACCTTAAGTATCGGAGATTCCATCTACCAAAATCATCGACGCATTGAATATTTTTATGAACGTAACATAACCAATAAGACATCCATGACATTCTTGGAATATTCTTGGATATGCTTTGATGTGCGTGTGAAATTTATATTCCATCTCCAAACAATTCATCTAGCGATTTACCTACTGTTATTTTTTTTAACAAGTTACCATAGCAAGTCCAAGAATTGGAATCAAGGCCACTTGCATCTGGACAATTGCTTATATGCTGTATGCATTGTACGCTAAAGATTATCCGTCTGATAGTATATTTTTCACTTCCACAAACCATCTCAATTTGTAACAAGAATGTCTCGGACAATACAAGTAACTATGTCGATGCTCGTGGTCAGCAGATATTGGTTTTTATAGGTCATACGTTGTAAGTCGGTCAACCTGTAGGCGTGGCACTTCGGTATGTAGGCTAAACAATCATTTAGATTAAGGAACATCTATTTAGAAATTGGAGAAGGGGTAAAGTTTGGGGCTGGTATCCCGATACTAGTGTTCGATTGGACACAACCAATTGGTTCGACTAATATAAATGCAGTTTTGAAGTGGTCCAATATCCAAGGTATAATTATCTCTTGATTGACTAAATACTTATTGATATCTTGTTGATCAACAAATTAAAGGTCGACCAAAGGATTGGTTATGCTCTAGTTAGCCAAAAAATCATACATGTCCAAACTCGAACTGTCAACAGTTCATTTGGTCACAAGACTTGAGATTTAACTAAATCGCTCTCCTGATCTACAAAACATTTCGAAGGGATAATATGGGACTCGGCAATTATCCAAATAAGGCTTACATTATGCAAAAATCGTTGCACGCACGGGTCTACATCTCATGTAAACTAAGGGAGTTTAGGAGACGTGTTAAGAAAGTGCCAGGTCATGCAGGTTGCGGATTGTTCAAAATTGCACAGTGCAGTGTGCAACGGGCTGGGCAATTGTTAACTGCATATAGAGCAATTCTAATGGACCAAAATATAATATAACACTTTGCATTAGTTTTTTAAATTTTATATGTTTCAAAAACACATATTGTGAGTAAAATTTAACAAAATTGCCTGAAAACCACATATAATGAACATACATTGGTGGTTTATCAGAGCTACTAGATATATAAAAATATAAACTAACAAAGATTCTAGACCCAAGTAAATACGAGCTAGATGTAAATGAGAATAAAATAGCATGTTGAAAATGAAATGGTATGCCATTGATTACAACTAATTCACTTGGCACTGTTCGTGTTGTGCGATAAAAGAGAGAAGTTGGTACTGTCAAAAAAGTTCCACATGGGACACTTCGTGTTGACCTGCCCGAATCACTTGTCAGTTCTGGCGAAGTTCGTATTGATGACTGAAGATGATTGATGCATGATTTATTACTTGTAGTTTGTGGTTTGTTTGCATCCTGGTTAAACCTCCGACGCACACACCTTTTAATGTCAGAGTCAAACGCAGAATTCAATGATACCAGACCACTCCCTCGGAATTCCCTGGATTTTTGGGAACCCCATCTATATGACACTCCACATTTTGATGTTAAGGAATTCACAGCTCCGCATGATAAAGTTTTTGATGAATTAAAAATTAATGCACATGAAATAAAGTCTACACTATCACAATCATATTGCACGATGTTGGTGAATGGGTCACGATTGGAACAGTTTAGTGAAACTTTCCGGTAAAGCCGCTCCCACATTGACAAAGAGTCCTTTGAGAACGTTCAGTTCTTTGGTCAACAGATCTATTTTCTTTTGAAGCTTGTCGTTCTCAGCACCAAGTTCCTGAACTCTACTTTCGGTAGTTTTCTGTCGTTCCTTGGCCTTAGCTCGACTTTTTCTTACAGCTACGTTATTACGGTACCTTTTATCGGTGTATTCTTCACTACCCTTAACCACCGCCTTCTTCTTTCCGGATCGACTGTAGGGTGTTTGTCTGCCTGCTGCCCTGGTGCTGGAGCTGACTGTTGGAGATGCCGGTTCGCTGATGCTTGTACCAATGGATGCAACGTCGTCAAAACTCTGGACACTATAGCTCTCGGAGATGTCTTCAGGTTTAACTGTTAATGTGTCCCAAACTGAACCACTTTGAGCCGGGGTAGCGGCGGATAAATCTTTGTATTCAGGCAGATCAGTCATACCAAAGTCCGAGGAATCAAACTCAATAGTACTCGGTTCTTTAAATTGCACACCTCCACTGACGACTTGCGCCGTATCTGTTGATAATATGTTAAGATGTTTTGACTCGGTATTTAAAAATCCCGTTAAATCGAATGTTAATTCCTGAGCGGGATCGAGCTCGTACAATATATTTTGATCTTCTATGATTGCTTCAGACTTAGAAGAAGTTAATAAAAATGAGTCTTTTATAGGTTTCTCACCTTCGCCTTGGAATGCCGGTAAGTCATACATTAGTGTATCCAACAAGTCCACTACATTAGGACATTCTGCCGTTGCAGTATCACTGAATATATTTTGGTCTTCAAAAGACAGGATTGACGTAATGGTATCTATTTTGGCGGTATTTGTAACACACGTGTCCTCAACTTCTGCTTCCGATTAACCTCGTCTGCTTCTGACCTGGCCGTTTTGCCTTCTTGTTGACTGAGTTGACAGTTTACTGATTTCTACTGAATGACGAAACATTCTTCGATTCCCCCTATTTAAGAACGTAACTTGGACTATTTACCAAAAATGGATATTCATACGCCAAAAATTATTTACTTAATTGGGCATCGACAGTTTCAAAAATCCTTTGCCGGGTCATTTTTGACTCCAAATTAAAATGCCCATGAAGATGATTGTCAATACTGCAAATTATTTTTGGTAAAAAGTAAGGAAAAGGTAGGAACTATATTGTTGCTCGCATGTATAAGGAAAAACACCCGAGTGAAATGTCACTATTTTTAGCATATGACGACAAATTTATTTTTACGTCTGGCCTAAAAATAGCATATGACGAGATGTCATATGAACCTTGACCCTTACTACGTCAATGGTGACCCCTATACTGGGGGTAATTTGTATACCTAGATCGCGTTTCGCGGAGTTCTGACAATTTACGGCGATTCTAATTTTCAAAATATACTCTAATGGGTATTTCGACGGACATTAGGATAGAGACGCGAGCTGTCATGAACATGGAAGAAGGCAAAAATGATTCCGATCGTCATCCCCGACAGTTGGAAATTTCCATCTGAAGTATCGCACCTGTTTCTATTTTTAGCCCTTCATCGGGCTGAATGAATTCCTCGATTCTCATTGGTCAAAAATACAGAGTTGATTGCGTCAGTTTATATTTGGATTCTTGGAAGACAAAATGGAGTAAAGAGAAAGACAGAGAGGAATTTTTTTAAGTTTAGGAACGTTTCTTGCCACCAGCCCCAGGTACTTTTATTTTTTTGATTACTCTTTTCATGATAAACAACATTAGTGTAAGTTTAAGGGATAGTTATTCAGCGCGAATTCGTCACCAGACGATCAAACCATATTGAAATGTGACCTACTTTGTTAATGACGTCGTAGTGTATAAGATTACGTGTAGTCTATAAATAGTAACAGACTTCTGAGGCCATCATGTATATAAGCCATTAAGATAGCTGTCATTTGCTTTCGGGTAAAACTTAATGAGATTTAGCGGTCAATTATTTGCTCTTTTATTATAATGAAGGGTAAAGATCCGATTGTCATGCTTGAGTGCTAATTTATGTATGGTCTTCATTCGCTTATTGTATTGTTCTCTTAATACCGTACTCTTATTACATATTATCGAGTATTCTTTTAAATTGGTATGCATAACCATTGCACGTATTGCTACCACCAGTTGCCTTACAAAAAAGGCAAACAAGAGTCATGCTGGATAGCAAATAGCTATTGAAAGCAGCTGACATGATCAATTGCAAAAATGTGTAGAACAGAAAGTTAAGTTCTGACTTGTGCTAAATAGCAAATAGGTATAGCAAGCACCTGAAATTTGCTATTTAGCAAATAAGTACAGTTAGCAATTCATTACCTTTGCAAAATAGCAAATTTTAGCATAGATGTTGCTAATATTTTCTAAATAGCAGATGAAAATAGCAATCATCTGTCTTTTGCTATATAGTAAATAAGCACCTGCACAGCAACCAATGAATTTTGCTAAATTGCTAATAAAAATTGCAAGCACTGAATTATGCTTAATTACTAATTTTTATCACATACTCAAAACAAAATAGGCCTCTAGACTTTATTAATGCAATAATTTTCAAAATTTTATTTTTGTCATTTCAGAAGAGGCTTAATAAAGAAGTACAAGTTTTAGTCGAAACCGAACAGATTCATTATGGCTCCACGTAAAATGACAGACAATACAGACGGATCGGACGGGGAAGGGGGCAAGGGAAATCGTAAACGGCAACCTGTTCCTAAGAACAGCGACGAATATAAAGTACGAAGAAACAGAAACAACACAGCCGTGAAGAAAAGTCGCAGCAAAAGTCGTCAGAAAGCGAAAGAAACCGTCGCGAAAGTGAATAGATTAAGACAAGAAAATGACGTGCTGGAACAAAAAGTCCAAATTTTGACAAAAGAACTGAGTATTTTGAAAGAACTCTTTTTAACCCACGCTGGGCCAATATCAGATGGAACCTGCCAACAGCAGCCGGACAATAATATTCAAAACGACCACAAATACTTCAAAAAGGAATAGCACCTTGTTAATTTTGATTACTACTTATACAAACAATATTTCCGGTTTTTATGAAGCTGGTATACTCCCCTTCTTAACTTGGAAAACAAATGTTAGTTAAAGCTGGACATGGTGATGATGGGGCACACTCATCTTACAGACCATAATATTTAGAAGATATATGCTGTTGATTGTATATCTCCATCCAATTTGAGACAATTTAGACGAAATAAGATTCTGAAAAGCAAAACATCTGTGATATCCTTTCCCATCTTTCAGAAACAGAAGATGTATTGAAATTATTGATTTTTGTATTGAATATTCCTTTTTTGCCACTTTGAATCAGACTTTAGATAACACATTTTATAAATCTGCTCTTAGAAATATAAGTGCCATATAGATAGATAGCTGGATTTTTATTGCTTTAAAGGGTTCATTTCAACATAAAAAAGTACTAATCCTTAATTCTTTAATTTTCACAATGTCAAGCTATTACGAACTCCGTCTTATTAGAAACAGTTTGTAGCTTGACATTGTGAAGATGAAGCCGGGCTAGTCCTGAATACTTTTAGCAAGTTAAATTAACTTAAAATCTTTGATTAAATGGAGTTAAACATTCTACTGTTTTGCTTCGCGTTGAGCATCATCATAAAAAGAGCATAATTATGCACCTGAAAAATTTTGTTTTTTTATTTTTAAGTAAATTATTTGAGTATATCTTGTTAGGTGTAAAGTATTCCTACACATTCAATTTTTTTATGGAAATATTTCAAGTTTCAGCTAGATAGTTGACAGGTTCTTTTTGTTAAATATATAGGTAAAGGGAGAGAATTCAAAATACTTTGTTACAATAAAAGAATTTTAAGTTAATGCGTATTTAATTTTTTATTTGGGATAGGAAGATATTTGAGTCAATCCCTTTTATGCAAATTCTGAGCATTCACAAATCCAATGATATATCTAGAGGCCACCCTGTATAGTGTGCAATGCAGCCTGTCTCTCTATATACCATTTGTCTATAGATCTTGCTCATGAACAGCTTGTTGCACACAGAACCTTATTTTTAGTGGAGTTGAAACATGAACCTTTTGTCCTACATCACTGACAAATGAAATACATTAGGAAGCAAGAAATATTTGACGAACATAAGGGATTGATTAGGTGCTGTTAAGGGTCTTGGTCAGAGACATTTGTTGCCGATTAGAGACTTGTCCTGAGATTGAACGACTGGCATGGGCACATAAGGAGATGAAAATCAGTTGGTTGTTTTCCACGATGTTGATAATCACGTACATGCAATTGAAAGGGAATGATTACGGTCTGTCTTGCAGACATTAAAACTATCGGAGAAAAATATCAACCTTGTTTGAAATTATAAATCCTGTTGGCAACACAATAATCTTGTCATGGAAGCTCAGGTACAGACAAGATTTTACTCAAGATTCGAGTCTGTGACAAAAATCCCCGTCCAAGACCACTCGTGTGCCTGCACCTTAAGAAGTAAGGAGGAAGGAAAAAAAAAGGTTTTGTACATGTATTAATTTATTTATTAAAAAGGTTGAATAGCACTAAATTAATTTACACAAGCTCATTACACGTTTTTCCACTGATGTTTGTTCAAGGCTCTATGTCTTTCTTTAAGTTGCAGCCATGTTGGTTTCATACGATTGTTGAAAACCGCAGGATATTTCGGTATTTTGAATTTCTCGAACGGGTTGGTCTGTTTTATTTTATATTTCATAGCTTCTTCATTCAATTCCCTTATATCTCTGTATCTATCCAGATACCTAGAAAAGAGAAATTAGATTTTTAATTTTGGGCACATAGTTTAAAATAACAGTGCAAAAATGATAAAAAATTGTTATTACTAGATACTACATAAAAATGCAAGCATTTAAAAGTTAGAACAATAAAAATAGATCAGAGAGACAGCTGCAGATGCTTGTTATACAATGGTTGATTAGATACTAGTTGATATTCAAGATGATAGACAGTAAACCTGGTCCAAAACTTTGTTCTTATAAGTTCTGATTGCCTCCAACAGTTCAATGAGTAGCAGATATAATAAATAATAAAATATATTACATACAAATTGAAGGGTTTTTTATGAGGGTGTTTCTTCTGTACAGGATGATAAGGTGGTGGATGAATAAATTCATATATCGGTTCCTTCATCTCTACAAAAAAAGAAAATAAATTAATTTTCTCAAAAACTCAACTGAATAAGACCATAATTTTGAGAAACACAATTGCTCTTGCTATCAGAAATTTGAAGCTAAAAACTATCTAACAGGCAGTAATCCACTCAAAGGTTAAGTTCAGTTTAAACTGAAATATTCAGATGACATCTAGAAGTATGAGGGTTAACATCAAAAACACTAAGATATATAGATATACTACTTTATAATGTACTAAATTTATTACATACTACGTTTCATAACACATACAGGTAACGTTATTAAATTTTTTTACGTGTTACCTGTATGTAATGTATGTAGTAATGTAGTATGTAATAAATTCAGAAGTAGTATATCTTTATATCCTGTTTTCTTAATAAAAAAAAATGTGGAAACTTACTTAAAGTTTCTCTGAAATATTTGGAAACACATGGATGATACTGAGATTGATAGAAAGCTATGGAGGCTGGTGTCAGCTCGTCCTGTCTTTCTCCATAAAAATCTAACGTCTGGAAATTTCTTTCTGATAGTGACAAACTAAAACAAACAGAAAATAATGAATAATCATATGAACAATGTTTACAAATTGCTCCTTTTTCTCAAAACATCTACAAATTTGTCATACGCGTGGAATTTACAGGCTTGTGACAGAAATTGATCTTAAGGTTATATATTACACAGTGCCCCTATCTTTTCAATTATCTTTTATAGAGAATTTTCACAAAAGTGTCCAATGAAAATCAAATGACACAGATTCGAGATATGGTCTAAGGGAAGTAACTCTTACCAATCTCCAGGTTTTTGTAATTTGGAGTAATCCATCTTCTGATGTTGCTCGTACAAGACAAAAACGTAACGATTGAATCCCACATCTCGAACAGGAAATGGTGGCATGTAATTACAGATTACTTCCCCTTGTTTCACATCATTACCAGGTATGTTGCCACTGAAATCATTAAAAAGTTTTACAATCAACGTTAAGAGGAATAGTACAAGTTGCTATCACTATCAAAGTGGAAACAATTCTGAATAGCCTGTAGCTGAAATTGAGCTTTATCAGCTATCAAAAAGAATATCAAGACAGATTGCTGAAATTGAGCTTCTCTGGTGAAGAGCAAGTTTTTAGACGACTATACAGATAACTGAAACAGTTTTTTAGGTGAGAAGGCAAATATTTATCCTTTAATATCTGATAATAAAACTTGCACATAATCGATCAACTAAGAAAAATTCTACTTAGATACTTACACCATCCAATGTAAGAACTCTGTATTATTATTCTGAAGGTTTCCATCAGGACTGGTGAGAATCAGGGTATACAGACTATCAGGATCACATTCATAACTTACATTTGGTGCCGATCGAGCCTGAAATTATCAAATGAGGAACGGATTTCTGAAAGTTCCGCAAAGTCTAAAAAATTGGCATAATAGTTTAATTCATTTACAGTATAAACTGTATATTTATAACTTTGATTTTGATTTTAGCAGTGTTATGTCACCTCTCTCACATGTATTGCTCATTCTTCATAAAAAAACTAATAGTGTTACTGGGTTATCATCATCATCAGAAAGGTCACATGATGTTTAGGATTTGGTATTTTGGCTTCTCAATAACTCAACTCAACATAAGAGCGCTCACCTACCTAATAACCTTATTCAGTTTATTATAACCTACCTCAAAAGGTGCTACAGCATTTCCCATATAAATGGGCATATATCTAGAGTCAGTAATGTTGTAGGTGATGTCCATAAAGAATTTAGGGTGAAAGAAACAATGATTAAATAAGTCTCGCCATATTCCATAATGTTCAGCTATCGTTTGATAAAATGTTGCTCCATTTTCTTCCATCCATGTTTTATTAACTTCTTCCAAATCTAACCTCACTGAAATTTTAGATTTGAAATTTTCAATGACAGGATTTTAGTTAGTAGTTGGTGGCCTTTCACAAGACTTAAGTTGGTCAATGCTTGAAAGAACTATTCCATACTAAAATATTTATTATCTCAGCAGATTACCAGCTAGCTCATAACCTAGAAATATGTAATAGTTTCCAACCTGTTGAAAAGACAATGCTCGTAACCTAATCACAATATAACATATCTCCTGGAAAAACTTTCACAGACTACTATTTATACACTTACGTTTCCCATGTCGAGCTAATTCTTCTAGTTTTACAGCTTCTTCTTTTGTTCTCTTTGGATAACGTATTGCTGGGTGTTTGAGAGGAAAACCTATATTGTTCCTGATAATATGTTTTTCTTCCTCTGCTTTTATTTCTAAAATGTTAGGGAAATAGTATTTTTTAATCTAATCAAAATGCAAAATTTTACGTTGTATTGTTTCCATTTTATTCTTTCTCTTGTCCATAGACTGAGTAATTAATTTGACAAAAGCACATAATTATAAATTCATAAATAGGAATGGCATACTCTTTGATTTAGAATTGACAAAACTTGCAGTTTAAGGTTTCTCTTTATTATGCTGTGCTTGTACATGCAACAATGCCTAGTTATAGATATCGGTAAAGACGATGTAGTGTTTGACTATCATTTGATCATTTGCATTTCATTTGGGCTATTTTGGACCTAGTGTACCGACCTGCAAGTCTATCTGCAAATGATTTGGAATCTTCGTGCAATTTTCCACGACGAATAAGTCGCTTCTGTATGTGTTGGCATCCAAGACATCTCACTGCATTAAATTCTCTTGAAATAATCGTAAATTTACAAAGAAATGAAGCCATTTTCACGCTTGTAATTTTATTTTCAATAATCCATGGCGGTCGCCATTATTTCGAAGGGAGGTAACTCTTCATAACGTAAGACGTACCCAGTCATGCAAAGACAAGTACGTAATCAAGCATACAGTATGTAACAAGATTCAAAAATTTCAGAAAATCAGGAGATGCCAAATAATACATAATACATTATATGCCTTGATTGACTATTCGTAATGAAAATGAAATTATCCTAGAGAGAACTGCGCCTTTTTCATTTTGAAGTTGTGATGCTCGATGAAAATATAAGATTGCTAGGAAAAAAGGGGAAAAAATACAAACTTGTACAAAAAATATTTATTTTATTCAAATAGAAGTAAAAAGGAAAAAAATTGATTAAATGTGCATTAGGTTTCGGGCTTGTTAAGTCCACTGTTTTGCTTTTCCATGTGTTTTTGCAATTTTGAGGTTTGCAAGATATCCTATAACAAGAATAATATCAAAAACTGTGTGAAAAGAGTGACTCATCGAGTTGACAAAACCCAGGTACAGAGCACCAGCAGGTCTTGAAGAACGCTTCGACATTCAGCTGAATTGAACACCTTCGTAGTTCCATATTTTAGAATATTTCTGGATGTTGTTTCCATTCTTCAAAAACTCTTTTTTCTACTAATGGAGTAAGGAACTGGTCAAAAGATAAACTGCTGCTGACAAACACTTGTTTCCCACATTTCTTTGCTGAAGAAAAAAAGATAATTATAGATATTAAAGAAAAGTGGCAAGCCATTCCTCGCTTATGACACCCATCCAAGGGCAAAAATAAATAATTTGACAAGCATAAAAAAAAAATCACCTGTAAGTTAAGAAATGAGCTCTTCCAAAAATACATCTTGATACAATGTATACATATGCAGAACAGTTCAATAGATAGGTCAGGAGGTTTCAAATAGAGTCCAGTGTATCACCCATCCCCTTTCCCATTACAGTGAAACTTGATTTTTTAAACGATCCTGGACCAGGAGTCCAGGACTTCATGTTCATTTAACTCACCTAATTTTTGAGCCAGCATTGAACAGACTGTATTTGAACTATCTCCAATAATATTGATGGTTGAAGGCTGAAAAAGAAAAGGGTACAACTCATCAATACTAGTTCATTGGATCCCTTTTCTACTAAGGGACCAATTAATCATTAGTTTAACTGTTAAAATGTTTAAAAGGGTTTTTGTCTCAATGGAAGTAGGCTATACCCCTGTCCCCTAACTAGATGTCTTGTCATTGATGATGATTTAATATACAGACATAAAATTTTTTTTCGTTTTTTTAACTTTGACGAAATTCGGTGTTGAATCCTTATATCCACGAAAATAGGTTACACCACTGTATTACATGGCTACAGCACTGTTACTGGTTCCTTTCCAAAACTTTAAGATTTATGATGCTGTTGAATGAATCCAAAAATTGACCAAACCAGAGCCAGAGACAAAATTTACAAAATGAAATCAAATATTATTTTGGTACCATTTTGACCAATTTTTAGGGGCGATTTCTACAAATTTTAGGGCCATTTTGGTTAGGTGCCAAATTGACTACAACCCGAGAACCGTATGGTTTCTCAGACATTATCATTATCTGCAACATAAAACAGGATGTGGAAGCAATTAGTGGATCATATTTCCACTCAAAACTTTTAATCAGGTCTTGGCTTACATTCTGAGATGCCGAGCCCTTTACACCAGGCATAGCCAAAGACATGTTTCCCATTTCACCGCCAGTTCCGATCCACATACAAAAACTGTCTTTTAGCTGAATTATTTGGAAATGGACATTGATATCGGAGATCTTCTCGGAGAATGTGTGAATGTTTATTGATGGTGAACATGGTTTGACATCCATGACTGGGAACAGGCCTGCTGTAACTAAAATATCCTCAAAACAATCAAAAACTGTTCTTCATTGTTTGCAGTCCATTTCGTACTTTCGTTTTATCAATAACCTTACAAATTAGAGTTACGTCCCTTGAATATAGTCTGAAACAACTGATCATAACTAGTTTTTTGGGTTTTGCATACATGTATAGAATGGAACAGAATTTATGAATCTTAAAATTCAACAAATAGGCTTTTAGTTTTCCTATGCGTCTAAAATTTCACCGACTAAAATATTTCTAATCGCGATCCCTCTTTTTGAATCAGCTGGCCATGAATACCAGAAAAACATGGAGAATTGATATGAAATAATCATAGAGTTATATATAGAAATGGAAATAATGATGGACCAAAGTTAAATTATTTAATACTGCAAGAGTTGTCTCCCTTTATATTTGTGATTGTCAAAGAAAGCTCATTAAATTTTAAGTCACTTTTAGTCGATTGTTTACGTCGATTTTTCTTTGTTTATTTTTTATTTAGTTTTGGCTAGGAGTAATGACTGACTGGAGGAACATTGCCTCACCTCGTAATGCTACCGATCAGTGCCGCTGTCATTCAAATTAATCAAAAATCTTTCCTTTAGCGTGTGTTTTTAATGAAGACGTTTGGATTTGCGAATGTTGTAGCTACTATGAATAATGAAGGTATACGGTACTAGATATGAATAATTAATAATTGATTAGACCTATTATAGATAGTTGAGTATAAATTATATTATATTTGTCTGGCTGTAGACAACACTATTGTTGAATTTTAATTGTTATGGCATCATTTCGCAAGAATATAAATCAATTTTCCTCCATAAAAAGGTAGGCCTAACATTTGACTTCGAATAACTTCGATCCGCAAAGGTCAACACCGTTCATTGAAAATGTTTCGTTTTCATTGAACTTTTACCTTTCGAATTATGGTTATCATTTATTCAGGTGATCTCAGGCGCTAACATTAATTGATGTTTGAGTTCACATAATATCATAGAATTGTTCAAATTCAACAACTCATCGTCAAAATCTTTCAATCGATTTACAAAAAAAAAAAGAAAATCCGCTTTTCATGAAAGCTGCCAATTTGGTTTCAACTGCCCATGCGCGTTGTTTAAACACAAAGAGTGCGTTAGATTGCGCATCTCGGCTACAATTGACATGGAATTGATCGAACGGGTTGCTACGTAGAGTCAAGCGGGTTGCTAAGTAGAGTCGAGCGGCACTGCTTATTGACTATAGTTTTCTATAGGCGATGTTCCTCCAGTAAGTGATTACTACAAGGTTTTGGCATACCCACAGTGTAAGTCAATACCTGTAATACCTTTGTTTTGTAGGGGATATGTGTATGCCATATGCCTTCCTGAATTCTCTATATTTAGTAATTATTACATTGCACAATTACATTCAACCGGAAGTAGGATTTCTTCTAGATATGTCTGTACTTGTCATACAAAGCCGGGCATGATATTCTGTATTTTTGTGACAGCTTTTTACCTCAGTCATTCATAATTCATATAAATAAAGATTCATCAATTATTCCTTGTTTGTGTGGTGATTGATTATCTGCACACTACGCAGAAAAGGCCTAACAGTGCATATTATTGTGACACTATTACGAAATCAAAATAAAACACTTGAATTTTGTCACCACGGTAACAGTTTTTGTAAATTACAAGGCATTAATGAAGTGTGAAAAACAACATTGACACTTTCTGGTGTGTTAAATACCACTCTGGACATCTAGACCTATTTGAGTGGTGGACGAGAAACGGATCCACTCTGTATGGAAGAAGGTTCAGGGTCTAAGTTCAGAAGTGATATTTTTCTGTAAATGCTGCATTAAGGTGCGATATTAGAAAACGTAGAACATATGGTAGGCTGGGGCTAAGGGCAGTTTGGAGTTAGGCTACATTAAAACCGAAAGAGGAAACGGCAAATTAGAACCGTAGCGAGGAAGGTGCAGGGTCTGTGTTGCGAAGCTAAGGCTTTTTTCTGTAGATATTGCATCTATCTGCCGAATATCGGAGTAGTGGTGTAGGCTAAGGACAAGGTTTGACTGGGATTACATTAGGCTAGAGTCAAAAGCACATATGCCAAGACATTAAGGAAAAACTGAAAATTGATTCAAATTAGTTCCTCAGAAATTTCTCAAGATGCATCCAACAGGAAATGGAAAAGAAAATATGGTCTTTACAAGATACAACGTCTGTAGAACATGGACAAAACTCTCATCGTTACAGCGGACAAGATTCTTACTGTATTTTCTTTTTGCATGTCTGATATATGTTTCTGTCAAGTTATACTTGATTGAATCTCTTCCTGCTGGGGTGGATCTTTGTCAACTTTTAAGTAAGGGTAAGTGGACGACTTTATTTCCAGCACTACCGTTTAATTGAACTTGAATTAAGTTATTTTTATAACTTACGAAATCTAACGTCGGATGTGACGCTAAATAGCCCGAGGATCAAATCGCTGTGACCAGTGACCGCCCTTGTCATAGTCGAACCTATTCAGTGGCGGAGCCAAAGGGTCAACCCCTTTCACCCCCTAACCCCCCTCGTAGCCCCAAATGCAAGTTTTTCGAACATGACTCTCAGAACTAGGTTAGAAATTCGGGCAACTTCACATGTTTGCCCCCTCTCGGACGTCAACCTGGCTCCGCCACTGAACCTAGTGGAACATCTATTGTAACCGAAATCAATTTCTTTTGAAATTTCCACGCACACGGTCATTTTGTGATCTCTGAAAATTGTTTTTATCTTGATGGTTTGTCCTTTTTACAGATATCGATGTAGAAAAACTGCCCAATGAATCGTGGTGGCAGTATATTTGTCTCTTTGAAAGGTACCGGTAGCGATTATTATAGTTAATTTCACTTTTGAAGGGGTATAAAAAATGTAAAATTTGGGGGGAGAGGTGCAATAAAGATAGCAATAGATTGCCTGTCACAATGGTCCCCCACTATTGTGAGTAGTTTTCAAATTACCGTGTGATGAGAAATTTGTATTCTTTCAGAGAAATGGACAAACCTTTGACTTATATCTGTAAAGAGACGAGATATGTAGGGAACTGGAAAGTTTGTTTGGATGAAAGATATATTCCTAAAAAGCCATGCTTGGTGTATTCATTCGGGTGTGTAAATTAAGATTTCTTTCTGTAAAATATCCGTACGTCAGTTCGATTGACAGCGATACTGTGGTACCGAGCTTAAATCCTGCTAAAGATGATACAATTAACTGATAACAGAGTTTTGAGCTCTAAGCTTTTCTGCTGTTAAATCTAAAGCAATTATTTGGACGTTTGTACATTAGAGCAACGCGTTGACATTCTGACGACAAGAATTAAGCACTTCTTCATGATTGTTTTGGGTTAAGAAATGTCGTTTTGTTTGTGCTGCCACTCTGTTACTCTGCCGGTCAATTTGGCATCTCTCTCAGAGAATCTAGTCTATATTCACCTTACTTATTATTTGATGTAGGATCGCTTATGATTTTTCGTTTGATGAAGGAATGGCTAAATATGGTTGTGAGGTCTATTCATTTGATCCCAGGTAAGAATGTTTAAGTTTAACACCTGGACAATGCTGCGAAGGTGGCTTTAATAAACTTTATTATGCTTCGACGTCACTATCTCACATACAAACACTTGCTTTCAAAGGTTTTTTTCATGACGTTTGGTAGGGACAATGTCTTTTTGTGGCAGTGGAATAGCTCGGTCGGTAGCGAGTCTGATAGACGATTAGTTGCCGTGGGTTCGAATTATCCAAAGAAGAGAAATTCTGATGCCTCTGCCTCTGCCTCTGCTTCCGAAAGTCGCTCCGGTTTTCAATCATAATTGCCCAATTTACCCATACCCATAGCACAGGCGGTAATTACAGATAAAGATTAGTAACCTTTGAATTTTCAGTATGGGTTTGGATGATCATCAACATAGTGAAGGAGTGTATTTTAAAAATCTTGGGCTAAGTTATAAAGATGAGGATGGTTTTGTACCAAGATTTGATGAATTTGTTAATAAACCTCAGAAGTGGAAAGTTCGAACTCTGAAATCCATCATGAAACAGTTGAATCACGAGAAGGTTGTATTCTATACATGTATATAATATATAAACGTTGATTGTCTGCCCCTGAGTTTAGCTCCAATTTAGCGAAAGCAAGCCCCCTATTAAAATGTTTTTTTTCATCCCAATAGCACTCCAATTGTTTTTAACAAATTCAAGAATATGAGTTTTATACAATTTTGTCCTTAATATGTCAGAATGCACAAAATCAATTCTATTTTCTCAAAACTTTCATCTGAGTATTTCCTATAATCTTCTACATAGCTGCTGTATTTTCAATCTCAACTGCGAGAGTTGCCCACCCGATAAGTCGATCTGCTCCCGATTTGTAACCACAGTCTCGAGAGGTTGGCGCCGCAACATCATTGGCTGTAATTCTAATATTTTTCATATTTTCAGAGAGTAATCGATGTGTTAAAATTTGACGTGGAAGGAGGCGAGTGGGAGGTCATACAAAATATTATTCAGGACGGAATGGTACCACAAATTCGACAGTTACTGACAGAGTGGCACATCTTTCCGGACTTTCCCCCCAGAAAGACTTTAAAATCTAACCTAAAAAATATTCAAAGTTTAGAAACTCTTGGACTAAAAAGATTTCATTCATTTTCATTCTATCGTGTTCATAGAAATATGTTTTTTAATTCTCAATCAGATGCTTGCTATGTCAACTCTACTTTATGAAACGGTGTTTACTCTACTTGGAAAATCATATGAAATGGTTTTTTAATTTAATTTGAAAATAAGAATAAAATTTTGTTTGGAAATCTTTATTGACATCACGTTCACAATGTTATCAAAATCGAAATAATAATACTGCGTAAATCTGGAAAAATGGGGGTTATCACAGAAAACTTGGATCTGGGCGCTGATGGGTCAAAAAAACTAGGCAAATCAAAACATTTGAGGATGTCCATGGTCACTATGCAATAAATTATTACGGCCCATGAAAATCCTGCAATAAATTATTACGGCCCATGAAAATCCTGCAATGCATTGAGACACATAGAAAGGGAGGTAATTTAAGATTCTGTGTGCGTAGAGTAAACTGGAGGTGATGATCGATGCAGAGCTGGCTGATTCGTTGATTCGGGGGGTTTAAGCGGCTTCTTCTTCCTCTTCCTCTTCGTTGAATTCTCCTTCCTCTTCAGCAGTAGCATCCTGGTACTGTTGATATTCAGATACCAGATCATTCATGTTGGATTCAGCTTCAGTAAATTCCATCTCATCCATACCTTCACCAGTATACCAATGGAGGAAAGCCTTTCTTCTGAACATAGCAGTGAACTGTTCAGAGACTCGTTTAAACAGTTCTTGGATGGCTGTGCTGTTTCCAATAAAGGTTGAAGACATCTTCAGACCTCTTGGTGGAATGTCACAGACAGCTGTCTTCACGTTGTTGGGAATCCATTCAACAAAGTAGCTGCTGTTCTTATTCTGAACATTCAACATCTGTTCATCCACCTCTTTCATGGACATACGACCTCTGAACATAGCAGCTACTGTCAGGTATCTACCATGTCGTGGGTCACAGGCAGCCATCATGTTCTTGGCATCGAACATCTGTTGAGTAAGTTCAGGAACAGTCAAGGCTCTGTATTGTTGGGAACCTCTGGAAGTCAAGGGAGCAAATCCAGGCATGAAGAAATGAAGACGTGGGAAGGGAACCATGTTGACAGCCAGCTTCCTCAAGTCAGCATTGAGTTGACCAGGGAATCGGAGACAGGTGGTCACTCCGGACATGGTGGCTGATACCAGATGGTTGAGATCACCGTAGGTTGGTGTGGTGAGTTTCAAGGTTCTGAAGCAGATATCGTATAGAGCTTCATTATCAATACAGTAAGTTTCATCTGTATTTTCTACCAGTTGATGAACTGAGAGGGTGGCGTTGTAGGGTTCCACAACTGTGTCGGAGACCTGAAAAAGAAAAATACCAAAATTAAATACAGAACCAGAAACTGGTTTATACACGTGCATTTTAAAGCGTGACCTAAATGACGAATAGCCTAGGCAATAATTTCCTATTAGAAAGTATAGTCCTTCAGTCGGTAACACTAATGTGTTTGTTTCTTTAGGGGAGATTCAAACCTGAAGCACTTAAATACTTAGCGTTTAATGTGTCAATCACACTTAGTGTGCTGATCTAAAATTTCAGTCAACAGATGGGTTTTAAAATCACAATTCTGCGATATAAAAAAGCGGGTTGAAACCGGTTTCCGATTCTTTCGAGTTATGAAATGGTATACTTGTTCTTACCTTTGGAGAAGGTACAACTGAGAAAGTGTTCATAATTCTGTCTGGATATTCTTCTCTGATTTTGGAGATGAGGAGAGTTCCCATACCAGAACCAGTTCCACCACCAAGAGAGTGGGTAAGTTGGAATCCTTGAAGGCAATCACAACTTTCAGATTCCTTTCGGACAACGTCCAAAACTGAATCTACTAATTCTGCACCTTCTGTGTAGTGACCTTTGGCCCAGTTGTTACCAGCACCAGATTGTCCGAAAACAAAGTTATCTGGTCGGAAGATTTGACCGAAAGGACCAGATCGGACAGAGTCCATGGTACCTGGCTCCAAATCAACCAGAACAGCTCGAGGTACATATTTACCACCTGGAAAGAAAATGATACTAAAATAGAATTTTTGAACACTTATGGGGATATTGATGAAATCTTGAGAATAGCGTCAGATTTTTTTCATTTTCTTTTTACTGATTTTTTTGCGTCTCCATTATAATCTGGCAAGTTTTCTACCACAGTGCTGTTCTAATGACGTTACTTTTAACCAATCAAATATAGGACCCGTTTTTTGATAGCAATGACGAGTTCTTGAATCGCGAGACCAAATATAACAGTATCTGAAGTCTTAAAGGGACAGTTGCATTCAAATCCTTGTACGAACCTGTAGCCTCATTGTAGTAGACGTTTATTCTCTCCAACTGAAGATCAGAATCACCATGGTAAGTTCCAGTTGGGTCAATACCATGTTCATCAGAGATCACTTCCCAGAACTGTAAGAATATTTACAAGAATATTTAATTAAAATATTTTTACTTTTCAAACTTAATCGCAGGTTTTAAACCATTCATTGGACAAAAAACAAAATCTGAAACATACTGTGGTCTCATTACGGCTGTTTTCTGGTTCTAAATTGGAACATAAAACAGCAAATCTGATTATAAATCGTTTCATTTGCAAGACCCAGTTTCACCAAAAAAAATCATACTATCAATTCTGTCATAAAGAATCACAATTTTATCGGAAGTATAGTAATTTCTCAAAGTAAATCCACATTTGCGGCCAATTGTTTTTTTTTTTTAAGTTCGCGGGCCTGATTTGTCTATAATTTGAAAAAAAATGTTTAATTTTATTGAAATCAACCAAATGATATTTGAAAACGAATTCTTACCTTGGCACCAATTTGGTTACCGCATTGGCCAGCTTGCATATGAACGATCTCACGCATGTTGTAGTGTTAGGTATTGAACGAGTTGTAGTCCGTAAAACAGATAGTTCGGTTCTGATATTGGTGGACGCCAAGTGGTCCAATATATAGCCCATACACCACGGCGACTCCTTCACCAAGGTAACGTGTCAACAAATAAAGTAATTTGTGTATCGATATACCTGTACAGTAATTAATCCGGCTTGTCGTTAAGTTGGTAATTCGATACCCAAGTCAATCGACGTGAACAATAGTCAGAAGATTATCGCTCAAGATATGAAGAGACACGACATGCTGGTTATAGTCCGAAACAATGTCGCTTGATGAAGTTTGTACCAGAAGCGTAATCAACCTGATTGTTTTTTGGCCACCAGAAAAAAATGAAATACCATATGAAAGAAACTTGTTGTGAATTGGGTAAATTAAGTTGACGTGGCATAAGAATCACATTCTACTAAATTGAAAAGGATTTCTAGCTTCTAGCCAGTGGAGATGGTAAAAAAAACCTTTCTTTTTGGCCCTCGGAAATTTCTATGTTACCATCAAACGTCACCAGGTTTGCTGTACGGGCTTTGTGACGTCACGCCTGGTATTACACGAGAGACTTCTCACGAATGTTAAAAATTCTGTTTCAATTTTCCCTGCCATACTAGTATCTTGAAATTTTCCACTCAACTATACAGTTTTGCATTTTAACGCTTGACTTCCAGCATATTATAAGATACTCGGACTAACTTAATAAGTCTAAGAAGAGATTATGTTACTCTAGTCTCAATCCACCCTTGACTCAATGTGAATAAAAACTCTTGTACTCTATAGTATATGATATTTTTGTCTTGTACCCACTTGAAGCAGTTAATAAAGTCATTTTACTTGTTTCGAACTACAGAACACCATAATATTTAAGCTCAATTTAAACAGGCGAGAATTAAACGAAAAATCAGTCTACCGATGCTTCAGTCTCTAATGAAGCCGACTGTATGCCTATCTGATAATTTTAACACCAATGTTCTTGCATTGGTTTTAAATTGGTTTCATGTGTTGTCAAAATAATTGCTCAAAATAAACTGTTTAAAGTTTCCTCATTGGTGTTGGGTGTATATTTGAATAAAATTCCCGAGCTTATGTCACGAAGCTAGGAATATATATTTTTAAGACAGTGTTGTTAAATTTGTCTCAGATTCTTTTACTCCAAAGAAATATTTTGAAATTTTACATATTCAGGCTAAGGTAAGCAGACATTCATATCTGTTCGACCCCGATTTTTTTTTTTAAATTTGACCATTTTGTAGTTTGAAATTTGCATTTTTCTTAAATGTGAAACAAACTCTGTTGTTACTGTGTTACTATTGGTTACATATTGCCATATTCTATTACATTTAACATTCTATTGTTCTATCAGGGTTAACCCACCCAAACCGATTCAAAAACTAATTAACTTAATGACCTGATAAAGCTATCTATATCAATGTTCCATATACATAGAGATAATATATCCTTATAATTATATTGTATACTTGATTGAACATCTAAAGCTGATCCTATTCCAATTTTTTTTTTTTTGGGGGGGGGGCATTATTTCTTCGCTATTTTAGTACCTATATTGACTCTCACTAACCATTGTTACCATCAATGATTGAATTATTTTATTGCAAGAATTGATTATTTTATGAATAAAACGAATGTATATACGTATTGCCTGTCGTCTCTGAAGTCTGTCTCTTTGTAGCAATTAACAAAGCATTGTCGACCGTCATGAATGCAAAGTCTTGGGCGTAATAAAACCACCTAACAACACCCAATTACCCCTAGGAAAGTAGCTTATAATAATGTCATATATTTATTTGTTGTCTGTATCAATTGAAATAAAAAAAACAGAGTTACCTCCCATAGATCATTACGAGATTTTTTTTTGTGACAAGGTGGCGCTGCGATATTCCGCCATTTTTATCTTCCTTGCGTGAATGAACGAAAACAAACATCAAATTTCTTAGATTAGATTTCATTTTATTTCAGTGTCAACGGCATACACAATGAGCGAATATATTCAAGTTGTTGAGGACGAAAATGACGAACCTATTGAAATCCCGAGTGAACCAGATGGAACATTGTTATTGTCGACTCTATCCGCCCAATTTCCAGCTACTTGCGGCTTGAAGTACAGGAATCCAGAAACCGGAACATTTCGTGGTATTCGATTGGTAGAAGGACGATTGCATCCTCCAGAGGGTTCTTGGGGAATGCAACTTTACGTTTGCGTTTTTCCAAAAGCAGGTTTGTAAGCATTATTAAATATTATGAAGAATGGAACTGTAAACGAAGGGGTATAACTCTGTTTAAGACAATGTCCGCCGACAACACTGATTAATTGGTCGTATAAACTTGGGATTAGTTTCATTTTCCTAAAAGCCACAAAGTTGATGATTAAATTTCTTGTATTTTTGTCATCTTTCTTCGCAGTACTGGGCACAAATGGTGGTTACAGGAGCTTTGATTAGTCAGGGAAAGATCAATGTTGAGTTATTTGACAGAATGCACTTACACATAAGTTATTGTCCTTATAATAAAAATGGCTGTTTCTCCCTATCTGAATGTATGATTTTTCTGTTGCAGAGAATAAAAGAAAAGGTGATGAAGGTCAAGAGAACCCGGCAGCTAAAACTAAACGACTAGACCAGGCTAAATGTAGCGATCTTATCGTTCTGGGTCTCCCCTGGAAAACAACGGAAGATGATATGAGGAAATATTTCTCGTCTTTTGGTGAATTGATACTAGTTCAGGTATTAGTCATATTTAACAAATAAATTAATCATGGCTCTGGTTTGGACAGGGGGTTGTATTTCAAATACTATTGGAAATGTAACATTTTAACTCTTTTCATTTTCTATTCTAATTTGATTCAGTTAATAAAGAGAGTGAATTTCAAGTACAACTACTAAAGCATATTTTTAATTCTTAAATGTATAAAGGCAATAAAAGCTCTGATGTATTGCTATAACTGAAAATATCATGAAATCATAAGTTTGTTTTGTCCTTCAGGTGAAACGTGACCCTAAAACAGGTGGCTCGAAAGGTTTCGGATTCGTCAGATTTTCAGATTATGAGGCTCAAAAGAAATGTATTTCACAGAGACATTTGATAGATGGTAGATGGTGTGACGTTACTATACCCAATTCTAAGGTATGATACCTAAAAATTATCACTGATAGTTGTTGATAATCTTTGAAAAGGTTGTTGAATTGCCAAACTTTGATTCCAAATAAGCAATATTCAGAATAGATGCTATGTGAACTCTCCAAGAGATATGCTGAGTTGACAAGCCAATCCCAATGGATTTGATAATAAGATTACAGTAACATTACTTGTAACCATTAGACTTTCGGATAACAAATCTTATATGAACTGTTGACTGTTTGAAATCAATAACAGTTGACAAAGGCAGACATAGTTGATGGGTTTATGTCCTTTTTTGACACTATTAATTGTTTGATCATGACTTGAAATTGTTTTGATATCTATTCCAGGAAGGATCTCAGCATCTAATGAATCGAAAGATTTTCATTGGCAGATGCAGTGAAGATATAACAGCAGAAGATTTGAGAAGCTATTTCAGTAAATTCGGTGAAGTTGTCGATGTGTTCATTCCAAAGCCATTCCGAGCTTTCGCTTTTTGTACGTTTGCTGATCCTGCAGTAGCTCAGAGTATGTATGGTGAAGATCACATCATCAAGGGAACCAGCGTTCACGTCAGCAGCGCAGCACCGAAAAACTTCGACAAACCAGATCGTCGAGGAGGAAGTGGGAGTTCTGGAGGCGGTGGTTTTAATACCAGTCATTCAAATTATAACCCAGGATACGGTGGGCAAGGTGGGTTTAATCAGGCATCTCCTCATTCTCGTCCGGGGCAAAATATAGGCAAACAAGGGGGCATGGAGCAACCCCAACTTCCAAATAATGTCAACATGAATTTACTCAATTCTGCGATGTTGGCTGCGGCACAAGCAGTCCTCAGCGGACAGGGAGGGCAGCAATGGGGAGGGGCCATGGCATCAGATTCAAATGGTGGACAACCCATAGCAACAAGCCCTACCCCTGGCAATCCTAACAACTATACCGCCCCGAATCCTGGGGCTTCAAATTTTTTAGGAGGATGGGGTGCAGGAGATGCCCAATCGGCTCAGACCCAACCTACACAAGGTCAGTATGGGGGGTGGGGAGGGGGTCATACTAGAAGTGGTGCGTGGAGTTAATGAGGATGTCTGTAACCATGGTAACAGAAGAATGGCGGGTGAAGAGATTCTATTAGTTGAATGAAGGAATGAACATTATTGTGCTATTTGTTGTTATTCTGTTTGTTTTAAAGATGTCGCTGTTATTTAGTTTGTAAGATGGGTGTATTTCCAGATTTTGGACAGGGGAATTTTAAACAAGAAATTAGATAATAAAAACTAATAAATTTGCATAACTCAAAAGCTAATAGATTGAGCTTAAACTGTTAGTGTTTAAGAATTAGCAAAAATATTTTCTATCCAAGTGAATGTTTTGAATTTAGAAATATAAGCTATTATAAAAAATTTTCAAATGTAATTATAAAGCTCAATAATTTTAGAAAAGTTACAATTTCTTGTTTAATTTTACAAAGTCTAAGTCTGTTAAAAATTTGTTATTGATACGAGACAGTGCGCGAAAGAAGTGTGGCCATCTTGGTTTTACGAAGATGACAGTTAATTTTTAGTCAATCATAGTGAATATGTGTTTACACGCATCGAAAAATCATGTTTGAAAACGACTTTTGTGGTTTAGTGAAACAAGCAGAAACATATTCATTAGTTTTTGTCCCTTTTTTTTGAGAATTCAGTTTTTCTTAACATTTCCTGTTTAAAAAATTAACAAGAGAAATAAAATGGTAGTTGTAAGATTATGTTTTTGTTTGAAAGAAGAGTGGTTTTTGGGAAATTGAACGCAGATTGATGTGGGCTTGAATAGAGTGGAGTAAAGTTTTGAAAGCTAAGAAAGTGGGGTGGAGGTGGCTCAGGTGGCCCTCCTTTGAGTTGTATTAAGGGAGTGTTGTGCCGAGGTAATGGGTGAGGGAATTTCGAAAGTCCCATTTTGAATACTGATGAATTGGTCGATTAAAACATGGCTAAACACCCTTAAATTTAAAATGAGCTCATCCTATCGTACGTATAAGTATCATATTGATTGAAAGTATGCATGTGTGGAAGAGTTCACTACAAATTTGGGGAAATATGAGAGTAATATTTTACTGGGACCCCATTTAATTTTCGAAATTAAAATGCAGAAATTTTTGAACATTGTATACCACTTTTTGTTCATGAAAGTAAACAACAGGTCTCCATAAATTTTATTAGGCCTAATCCATATTTTTCCCTTTTCATATGTTTAGCTTCTCTGCATGCAAATATCTAATAAAAACTGTTTTTGCAGAACGCTATGGTCACCATGGTAACAATGCTAGCTATGGGGAGGATATGTATGGACAGTCATCGTACGGCTATAGATAGACAGAAAGAATGAATGAATGGATGGACGAGTGACAGACAAATGAAATGAATGGAGGAATGAAACGTGGTTGTGGTTTGTCTAACACCAAATGGTATCTATCTCTATCGTGTGCTATTATTAAAGTCTATATTTTTTCTGTGAAAATGACATTAACTAGATTTTTTAAAATCTTTTTTAAAATATTTTGATCAAAATAAATCAGTAATCTTATTTAAAAATTAAATAAAAGAATTAGGGAGTTCTCGGTATTTGGTTTTGTGGTCCCGACATTTATCTAACGAAGCTTTAAAAACCAATAGTAAAAGATTTTATTTAGGAAATTTCATTACCAATGTCACTCCTTTCATAAATGATTTTAAACATATGCTGAAGGGAATGAAATAATTATCCAGACTGATATTGGGGAGTGTTTCAATCTGATTATAATAGGAATGTGGATGTTGCGTTTCATGGGTTTTTATTTCAAAGGTTACTCCACTTGTTCGACAATGAATATATGGAACAGAAATAGTGTGTGATTTATTATTTTCTAATCTAAAACAGGAAATAAATAAAAATTTAGTAAGATCATAACAACCTGATATTACACTAAACATCCAGATTCATATTTTAATCAGATTGGGGTGTTATGGACTTGCTGAATGGAAGCAATGGTATGGTTCTGATAGGTAGCTGCCAGCATGTTGCTGAAATTGTGTGAAATAGAAAGCACTCTACGTGTGTTAAGCTTCAAAAATAGCCTGAGGTAATTCCATGAAATGCAACTCAAGAGGAGAGCTGTAGGCATGATGCATACATGGCTTGATGTATTTTGATAGACAACATAAACATCCCTAATTTTACAAATGAGCTCTTCCAATCAAACATATATAGTTTCATATTTGTTACAAGTATGCATGTGTGGAAGAGTTCACTACAGGGTCAAGGGGTGTCAAGTAGATGTTTGGAGCGTCAGCATGGCATGCAATATTTTATCAGTGTGATTTGCGGAAGTGCAAGAATGGAGGTCTGAGATCTGGTTGACCACTCAATATAGCACATTAGTTACACAGTGTGTTTTGAAAAAGAATCGTTATTTGAGGTAGATCGGGTGATGAGAAACTCTAGGATAGGTGAATACTATAGAATGGCTCTGTTGTAGTCGAAAGTTAGTTCTGCTTGTCAAAATTGAGAGAAAGGAAACCTGAAAGGTAGAGAAAGGCTTATCCAGTGCTTCAGAACTATTAATAGTATAGTCATGTATGTCGGTAGATCATAGGTGTGCTGATGGAATGGAGTTGCTTCTTGATCATCGTATCACGAATACGGGTTTGAAATGGTCTTATTAAGGTGGAAGTATGGCGAATGGGGGTGTGATTTGGACACGATGCTTCTTGATAGAATAGAGATGTGTGATGGTAGACAGAGTTCGTGCTCTTGAGATACCCCCTTGTGTTTTCAATTACCCAATCGTTTCATTTAACTACACGTGGTAAGTATGAAGATGTCGAATTTTCAATAAACAGTTTCAAAAAAACATTTTGCTTTCTTCTTTACATTTACTATGCCAAAAGAACTTATTTGAAAGATTTATTCGGGGGTGAATTAAAGATATTGCATGCCCTAATGTAGTAAAGTTATCCAAGGGGTAGTTCTTTAAGGTAAGGGGTGCTGACAGGAGGATGAGGGCGGGGGCACCGCTAGACTATCCTCAGTTCTTCCCCCTTGGCCATCGTGAGAATGGTTAGAACCACTACTATAGTAACCCAAGCAAGATATCCGTCGCTGTAAACAGTATCAGAACGTATAGAATCCATGTTCATTATACTATTTATGTGGGCTTCTATCACTACCATAGGACACGCTTCTTACATATACGCCATCTTCACTCACTACAACATTATATTAAAGTAAGGGGGTGCTTACAGGAGGATGAGGGCACAGCTAGACTATCCTCACATTACTGGTAATACAGGCAAGCATCGATATGGTACATGTTCTGTAATAGGCAAGATATCCGTCGCTCTAAACAGCATCAGACATGATTCGAACCTATAGAACCCCTGTCCTGTAGTCTGAAGCATTATGTTCTCTTCACTTACTTCCATAAATATATAACAATAAGAGTAAAAGAAAAGTACTAGAAATACACCGCGTTCCAGAAAGTGGGCAAGATATCCTTAGCTCCAAGCAGCAGATTAGATGCTTCCTATACCCCATCTTCTTCCACAATTATATAACATTACTGGTAATTAAGGTAAGCATCTATAGCTATAAGCACTATGTTACAGATCTGGACCCCACTTGTTCATGGATGCATCAGCTTCACTCAATACCATAAATATACAAAAATAAACCTAAAGGCCAGTGAATTTGTTACTAGTTTATATAAACTGACTGTTAAATACCAGAGGCAACAAGGACGTGCGACCAACAATTGATCTCGTTGATAAACCTATTGTTATTATTTGTTCTATTGTCCTGGATTAAAGGTGGTCGATTTGGCTGGATTCCACCTTATCACTATAACTTAATCCGAGATGAATGGAGTTTTACGTCCTACTCAGGCGGACGACCCAGTGCAAGTTTTGCTAGAAAGCAGAGCATAAGCACCCGTTAATCAGCTGAGTTTAGTGGTAGTGGCATTAGTGGTTGAAAATCTATTAGCTTCCGGTGGCAGTGATCTCTCAGCCAATGGAATGGGTGGATAAGAGTGTAACTGCTTCTCGTTTTATAACTCTCAAGGCGTATGAAGTGGATTTAAATTTAGACTGACCCCCTATGGTGCTCTTCCTTATTTCTTCATTAAGTAAAATTAAGGCAAGAACGTTTAACATTTCAATATGGCCTCTCGGTGCACGACTGTAGGACGCAAAACTCCATCTGATGTTCAGATGTGTATCGTCAGTGGTATGTGATAGCATGGGTTCTCGGACTAACTGGACACATGGACTAAAAACTGTGTCAAATTCAGGGAAAGCGATAAAACAAATATTACTAGTCGTCAACTTCGCATAACTAGTGTCATTTTCACGAGGTCAAGGGTTATAAACAGTTTCCCTGTCACAGGGCGAGGAAAAAGCTGAGCAGAAGTAGTCGTCTGCTGTGTTAAAATGGCGGGAAATCCAGTGCCACGGTCGCCAAACCGTTTAGGAGGATATTTAACCAGGAAACAGGAATATATTTTCAATCTTTTATATGGTAAGACAATTATATTTCATAGAAAAGTCATATTTCGTTCCTTTTTCGCTTCGTTTAGGGGTGAAATTATGAAAACATGAGCCAAAATATGGATTATACAATAGGCAATTCCATCGGAACAACTTAATTGTTAATGAAATTTCAAGCTATGGTAAGCTATTGTTCGGCTTATTCATGTCTTAGAACAGAACAACAGAAATTTTCTTCGTCTTCGTTTTAACACTGTTACGTGTACAACAACAATTTATATTCACAAACCCATTGTTATCAATATACATCAGAACAGAATGTGTCATTTTCTAAATATTTTATACTAATTTGTAAAATTTGATGTTGACATAACAAATGCACCTAAAATGTAACCAGTGGATTTTAAACATATTTGTATATTTGGTCACTTATGTAATACTTATATCTGTTTACACACGTAACTTTTCCGGTATTCGGGTTTTGATATGCAAATTTTGGTTGATAAATATACAAAAAAAACCATATATTATTATTTTATGTGTACTCTCCAAGTTGAGAAACTATGTCTGAGAGTGGCATCAGGCGATTTGAAAGGGTGAACATGCCTTTCCTCTCTCTATCTGGCGAATAAAAGAATATTAATCAAGAGGCTAGTTTGACTATACATGTATTCAAACGATTAATTTTCATAAATCATTATAATATATATCCGTTTTTCACAAAAATATCATGAAATCGAAATATTGACTATGATAAAGAGTAAATCTAAATCTACGTGTGTCCTAAATTCTAATGGTTTTTTAAATATTTGATGAATTTCGTTGTTTGTTTTGGTGGATACATGATATGGTGTAGTTGGTAAAGAATTTAGTTGTGATAAAAGATATCTATAATCCGTTGCTTGGGATTATTAGTATTCTATTATAATTTGTTGTCTGATATCTCGGGTAGTAGGATATCATGGCTTTCCTTACCAAATTTTCTTCATTGAACACTGCAAGCTAAACGAGAAACTAAGGTTGGGAACATACCATGTTATCCTTATTGCTATAGTACTACAATCATCGCAATGTCAAGATATTAGGAACTTCGTCCTATACATTGACTGCAATACAACCCTTTCTTGTATCATGGAAGTGATTTGATTGAATTGTACGCTAGAAAATATAGACAATCAGAGACCTCAGTTGAAAAACTTCACAATCTGTCTGTCGAGGGTTCTGATTGGCTGTATTCCCACTCGTATAATCCAGTCAAATCGTTGCATTCACAAACTTCTATTATACAAAAAGGTAGCTATTGCAGTCATGGTATAAGACGAAATTTGTAATAACTTGACATTGTGAAGATAATGCTTGGATTGCTGTAGTTTAGGTTAAAATAAATCAAACTGAAGGTGAAGCCATTTCTTCAATTCAAAATATTTGCGGTTGGTATCTTAAGCTAATTTAGATGCCCCCCTCTTAGTAATATGAGTCAAGATTATCCGAGGGTGGGGCAAGGACATGGATTGTCCATGGGTGGGGCAGTTGTAGTAAATAAAATATTAGGCGACGGTCTTCAATTTAAAACCTTCTTTTGTGGTCTTAAAGTCAATTTCTGAGAGAGAGTGAGGTAAAATGCCTCAATGTCCATGGGCGGGGCAGTTGGGTGGACAGAGAAGATAATTTTAGGCGACGATTTGTCGTATGTCCATGATACCTGCTCTAGATATATCACTATATGACTTCTAATAAAAGTGACAGATATGAAGGTATTTATTATGATCGTTCAAATAGACCACTAAGATATTGTTTAATATCCCTAGACATTGGGGTTTGAGAGATTTATTGACTTCCTACTCTCTTCAACTGATAAGGGTCGACCTAGATTGGTTTAAATCGATTGAAGATTTACGTCTTGTTAAACGGACGATATATAAAGAGTTATTGCTTACGATATGGTCTTCAACATGCTTTTCAGTTGGCAATGTTTGAGCTGAAATGGAGTTTTACGTTTTTTTAAAACTGATGAAATAATAGACTTTTGTGATATGGATTTCAATATGCTATCCAGATGAGGAGCCCCCCCACCCCCCTCCCTTGCAGCCCTGAAAGCAAAAATCTTATAACTAGGTTAGAAATTTGGGCAATCTCCGATATTTCGCCCCCCCCCCCCCCTCCTCGGACGTACACCTGGCTCCACCACTGTGAAGTATCTGTAACATTGTGTATTTATGAAGTTTGTTTTTGGCATTATTCTTGTGATTTGATAATAACTAATTAGCGCCATGTTAATTATGATTAATTACTCTATATATAATTATTATAACATAATGACTACTTTAGTTTAATTATTATACAGTTTCTGATGAAAATACCACCAATAAAATATCAAGAGAATACAGTTACCAACGTTACATAATTTGTTATTCTACTTATTTTACCGGATCTTAACGAAACGTTGTATTGACAGTATTCAATTGTAGGTCTAAGTTGATATTTAATATATTGCACTACCTTTTTACGTTTCGTTGCTGGACCCACGTCACACAGTTTTTGACATACAATAAGATTAAGATTGACACCCCACACCTCTCTCCCCGTCCCCCCACTGTGAGTTAATATTTTACTACATTGTATGATTATATATGACATTTATATCAATATTACTAACAATAATATTAAACATTTTGACAGTGACGAACTATTAGGATTATCATTTCAAACGAAAGCTCAATGGCAGGGAAGAGTAGTGTATTTAGGGGGGGAGGGGGTTCCATTCGAAGTGGAAATTAAAGCCTCTAAATGCTCAAAATTCAATCCGATCGCTTCTGTGGGCCTCTGGCATACCCATGACCTCAAGGGGCCTTGGCCCTTCCTCTCTCGATTTGGAGAGACACCTCTTTTTTTGGCACCCCCCCCCCCCCCTCCCCCTAGGTCTTTTTCTAGATACATAATTAATAAGTCAATTCCATTTGATGACTAGTACTTTTCGACCCAGTCTTCACCAGATAAATTCACCCGATTTACACCTTATTCTTATTCAAAAGTCAATTACAGGTGGTCAATGTACCTGTCCTCATCCTTATAACTTGCCGACACATCAACTCTTTGATCTTACCGCCTGTGTAAATAGAAGCTATGAGGGTGTGGGGATTCCCTGTTATTTACCTATAGTCGACAAATATCTGGACACAAAGGTTACTTTTATACTAAACATGCTGCCCATTCTTAAACTTTTTATTTTCTTTTGTCGCCTTTTCAAACTGTCCATCGTGACAGTCTCGGAATATGCCGAAACTTGCCGAATGTCGTCCGAAAGTAGGACATAAAACTCATTTTCTTCAGCTGGGTAATCGACGATGCAGAATAGTCGGACGTAACACTCCAAAACCTGGACGCCGTGTAGGGCACACTCTCTCCTCGTCCATCTCCTTTGTGGTTTTGACGTCTGGTATACGCACCGAAAGGTAAAAGTGTAATCATCGTAATTCGAGTCAGAACTTCGAGAAGATCAACGGACAAACATTGGTCATTCTTTCCTCCAGCCATCTCGTACCTGACAATTAGACTGGACATCAACATTCAATCTGTTATAAAGTGGGGTAAAATCCGACTTGAATCGCCAATTATTTCACATTATACCCTTCTAACTCTGAATAAATAGTTCTTGTTACATTGTCCTAGGGTAATCCGAATCACATACCGACAGGGAACACTCGATAGCTTTTTTCGGGGAAATTTGCTCTAAAATCTCGAATAGATATTTGTGTACTTAATTAGAAATTCAATTTCTAAACCCTCATTAAATTATTGACATATTCGTATCCGAACCCCAAAACGAATTCTTTACAATCCGAACCCCAAAACAAAATATGAGTGTTGAACCATTCATCAATCACTGTGTTCAGTGTTTTGGACTATATGGAGTAGAATAATTAATAAAACATTTATTTAACTGAGTATTTGAATTGAGGGTGTATTGTAACTATAGTGAAACTAAGAGTTATTGTTCTTGACTAGTCAAACAAACCCCTTTACTGTATAGCTCACAGGTTTCAGTTGGTATTTTTTGATGGTACATTGTGAAAACTCTCCCGATTGTCAAATCTCAAATGTATCATTTTCACTCTTCAATTTTGGGTTTGTTCAAACTGTCCACTGTGAAATATCTGCAACATCATCTGCCATTGTTGTCAACTGGTATTCTTTGTACTGAAAATGCACACAACTACATGAAATGAATGTCAACTGTCTCATTTTCACCTTTTGTTTTCTTGTTTATGCAAACTGTTTTAACTTCCGAAATTGCCAAAAGTTGCAGAAAGTTTTCTTTTTTTGTTGCGTTGCATTTTTTTCTGGAACCATAGATGTCAAACAATAAATCTGCTTTGTGCAAGTGAACCAATTAGTCTCTCCAAAATACTAACAAAAGATACTAACAAAATACTAACAAGAGAGTAGAAAATATCATTTCAATATCTTTAAGATTTAAGATGTTTGTCGTATAAGATGATTTGAACCAATTTAGGTAATAAAGTAATAAGATCGCCCTCGATTCACTCAAACAAAAAAATTCTTTTGTATTATAATATAAGATTAGACATGACAAGGTGAGAAAATAACAGAAATAATGAGCCACGTTTTGTCACCTTATCCTAATAATATATGATATCTGAGATTTTAACAGGTTTAGGAGTTTTTATGTTATACTATGAAGATCATCCTACCAAGAATTATAATAAGGTCACGTATTTTCAGTGCATTTTCAGACAACATAAGGCCTTATTCTCGAAAAACATGATCCTCTGGGTCCTTTCCCACAGAAAGTTCTACCTATTCTGAAACAAATGTATTTTTTGCTAATTTCAGACACAATGCATGACAAGAATTTATCAAGACAAGATTTTAAAGAGTTACAAAAGGTAAGTGTGGAAATCATAGTTTATTGTGGTCTGATTTAATTTGTTATTTAGAGTTATCTCCCTTGTCTAACATTTCGCCATCTTTTCGGAAATTTAAACATGAATGACAATTCTTGTTTGCATTAAGGTTCCTATTTGTAGAGCTTTCATTGGTTCGTTCCTCTGTCGATTCCTTCTTTGAACAATTTATTCAATCAAATCAATTCATTTAGGCCTATTTATGGAATCAATCCATTTTCGTATTATTAATTATGTCTAATTTCAGTATGTATTTATCTCCCCTGTTGTTCATAAAATTGGTTTTAAGACTAAGTTCATTCATTCATTAATTTCTATATTTTTCTTAGCGGATGTCAGATTTAAGAAATTTGCGACCAGCATCAGAAGAGAATCGTAAATTACAGACGAGAATAGGAAGTATATGGTCAGGTTTAATGAAAAGTTCTCGACACTACAGAAAAAATCCTTTACAACAACATGTAAGCTGAAGTTTGTTCATTTTCAATTTCCCAATTGCTGCAATGGTTCGCTGTGAGCCTTTTCAGAGAAAATCTACCTTGTGACATATAGTACTACGACCATGAGGCCAAATTACTTTGACCTATCAACCTGTAATGACTGTAATCAATTTACCTAGATAAATACCTCTGCACACGATCTTAACAACTTGCTACAAAATAGACCAGCTATTTGCATATTTATTCTCTACCAAAAAACCTGGTGGCTCGATAATTCGGATTTTTTTTTTCAGTTGAATGTTCCAGAATGGTTGGCCTATTGGAGTGATTTTGTAAAGTCGGCGAGATCAGTTCGAGGCTGGCCTGAAGTTTCAGAAGACGGATTAACAGATTATCAGTGGCATAATGAATTTATAGATCTTATTTTCGATAACATGGATTATAAAGGTAATATTCCATTAGTTTTCCAGTGATAATACCTATTTATGATGATAATAACATTGGCTATAACTATATTGATAGTAATAACGTCGTGGACAGCGACATTGATGATAATAATGACGTCGTCGATAACGACATTGTTGATAATAACGTCGTTGATAATGACTTTTATGATAATGACGTCGTCCATAACGACATTGTTGATAATAATGACGTGGTCGGTAACTACATTGATAATAATGACGTGGTCGGTAACTACATTGATAATAATGACGTCGTCGATAACGACATTGTTGATAATAACGTCGTCGATAGATGATCGTTGATAAGGACGTCGTTGAAATGACTTTTATTCTAAACGCATATAATTATTCTATTTTTAAAGGAGATGAAAGTCTCGATAAAGAAGAATACAGTAGATTTATGAAAGCTTTCGGTTTATCAACGGATCGCTGTGAAGAAACATTTTTATCTATAGTCAATAATACCGTAAGTATCAATCCCGGTAGAGGTGGGTGTGGCACAGGATAAGGATTTAGATGGTTGGGTAAAATATCATACAATGTATGATACTGAGCTTTCATATGAGACACATTTTGGTGCTATGTAGTCAGCTCTTATTTCTCTAATCTGTGGTATTCTAATTATACTTCATCGTCATTTGGTCGTAATTTGAAATATCTACATGAATATAAAATGAAACGAAACGGAGTTTTACTTTTCTGTTCCTGATTGGGCTAATCAGACGGACGATGCCATGCACAAGACATGCTTACTCTTTTGCGTGTACATTTACACAATGAAGCCGACAACAATTTTTTTACTTTCCAGAAAAATGGTCAGAAGATTGACCGTCAAAAATTTAAAGATCTGTGGTTTGAATTTTTAACCAATGAAAAAGAAGATGGCGTTGGAAATTTTCTGTTTGGAAATCCTTTATTGGAACTGGTAGACGAAACGTAAAGACTTGTAAATCGAGAGTGTAGAATGATCTAGTAAATAATGTATACACATATATACACGGCTGAGATACATGAGCTATTTGTATAAAGTGAACAATGGTTCTATCTATTAGTGATAAAGGGATGAGAGGGGGTTATACGCCGATGGCCAAAGATAGTCCAAAAGATAAATAATAGATCTTCATGCCTCGTCTTCACAATTTCAATCTATTACGAACTTTGTCTTATACCTTGACTGAAATAGCCATCTTTATTGTATCATGTAAGATTATAAATACAGCGATTTGATTGTATTAT